CCCGTCACTACATCAGATTTGATAGACCACAAATCCTCGCTAAAGAACACCGATTCCTTCCAAGGATGATTCGCGAGGCTATTGAAATCAAAAAACATCCTAATTTCAATAGAGAAGATGGCTGGGTGCTACCATCTGCTTGGGATCCTATAATAAATAAAATTAAATCCCAACCCAAGCATACAACTGCAAGACTCCATGATACCATAAGTTCATACTGTGTAGATCGGAACAAAAGTTAAATTTTAATCTATGGTAACCGCGGTTAACTATGACAGCTGGACGTTGAACATCTCAGTCCTTCCCGTGACCATGGGTGCTGTAAAGCTCTCGAAACGTCGGGTAAAAAAGTTAAATATACGCGATAAATTCCGTAAAAATTAGTATTATTTCAATGTGTAGTGTTCGCGTAAATATAAGAAATCATGGTGTAAGTTTTTTTGCGGAGATGCTACGACCTGGTAGAATTATCGGGGAACCCGGTTCTCCGGACGCGCTTGAGACCGTTTTAGGATACATAGTTCTAGGAGATGCTCCAGCGGTTATCCAGGCTCAAGCCTCAGCCACCGTAGCGTTTCATGCTATTTCAACATCTGAGGTCGAGACTTTAGTTAAGAAAATGTGGGAACTCGATGAAATTGATCCTAAGCATATCTTTAGTGCTGATGATAAAACATGCGAAGAAAATTATAGTAAGACTGTCACGCGTTCTGCTTCCGGACGCTAGGAAGTAGCCTTACCTTTCAAATTCAGTCCATATTTTCTTGGTAACTCTTTGGAAGTCGCTAGGCGTAGATTTTTACATTTAGAGCGTAGGTTTTCTGCTCAGCCCGCTCTAAGAGAGGCGTACGACAGTGTAATTAAGGATTATATGGATCAAGGTTATTTATCTCCTATTGATACAGCCGATAAAGATCCTCTACACTTTTACGTGCCACACCACGCGGTTCTTAGGGAGGATAAATTATCAACACGGATCCGACCTGTTCTGGATGCAAGTGCTAAGTCTAGTAGCGGATTTTCCTTAAATGACCTTTTATATACCGGCCCCAATCTTCAACGCGACCTTTTTACAATCTTAATGAATATGGGACTATTACCTGTTGCCATCACAGCCGACGTAAGACAGATGTATCTTAGGATAGGCGTCCGTAAGCAGGATCGACGTTTTCAGCGTATCTTATATCGCTTCAGTCGGGATGACAATTTAGAAGGTGGTTCAGATATTCAAAATCCAATAAAATCATTGGAATTCAATAGAGTAGCCTTTGGACTAAAGTGTAGCCCATTTTTAGCTCTTCATACTGTCTCGCAACTGGTACAGGATGAGTGTCACCGTTTCCCTATAGGTAAAGAAGTCGCGTAGAGAGATCTTTACATGGACGATATAGCTAGCTCACTGATGAATTCCGATCGAGCTATTTCTGCCTTTAAAGAGTTAGTCGGGCTATTCAAGGCTGGGGGTTTCCACCTAGTCAAATGGAGTAGCAATAGCACAAGGGTGCTTGAACATATTCCTGAAGATTATCGCTTGTCGCAAAACGTCGAATTTCACAAGGACGATACCTTGAAAATATTAGGTCTCTACTGGCGTCCTCGTGATGATGAGTTCGCCTTCGAGGTGATTTCAGATGATCGCCCTTGCACTAAGAGAAACATTTTGTCCTCTGTCGCACGTTTGTTTGATGTTTTGGGCTTGGTAGCACCTGTAGTCTTGTATGCCAAGCTTTTAATCAAGGAGCTTTGGATTGCTAAAATAGACTGGGACGCTGATCCCCCACAACGAATTACACGACTGTGGAATGAATTCCGACGTGAACTTCCCCTGCTTGCCCAGATGAAATTTCCTCGGCACCTTGGAGTGGTTCATGGCTGTTCGGTAACAATTCTGGGTTTCGCTGACGCGAGTGAAAAGGCTTATGGTGCCGCAGTTTATATTCGAGTAGACGTCAAACAAAATCAGACAACTGTCATTTTGTCTTGCGCAAAGTCAAAGGTTGCGCCCTTGAAAGTTGTCTCATTAGCACGTCTGGAATTATGTGCAGCCTTGTTGCTTTCTAAATTAATAAAAGGGGTTCTTGAAATATATTCGAGTAGATACCCAATTAATTCGGTGTTAGCATTTTCAGACTCGACCGTAGTGTTAAATTGGATTCATCCTTCTCCACACCGATGGCACACGTTTGTTGCCAATAGAGTCTCCAAAATCCAGGACAACTTACCATCGGATCACTTTTACCACATCAAGGGTAACGAAAACCCGTGCGATTGTTTGTCCCGTGGACTAACTCCTACACAACTTATGAATCACCCCCTGTGGCTACAGGGGCCTCCTTGGGCCAATTTGCCTAAAGTCGAATGGCCAATAAAAACGTTTGTGCCAAAGGAATCTTCCGACGCGCCGGAGCTTAAGTCTATTTCCCTTGTAACAATAAAACCAATCGAAGAACCTTTTCTGTATAAGCTAGCACGTAATTACTCTTCGTGGCAACGGTTTCTTAACGTGGCGAGCTACGCATACAAGTTTAAAAGGAAGCTGCCCCTGGGACCCATAGTTAAGTCAGATTTGGAATTTACGGAATTAGAAATTATGAAGCTAATACAGTCAATACATTTTAGTGACGACCTTCAACGTTTGGAGAAAGGGGGATGTCGTTCTTCATCTATTAAAAAATTAAATCCATTTCTTAAGGATGGCGTATTACGCGTGGGTGGCCGTTTGGCAAACTCAGAGGAGAGTTTTGAATTTAAACATCCTATTCTTCTTCCTTGTAAGGATCATGTGGTAGACTTGCTCATACGCTCCTACCACTGCAAATATTTACATACAGGACCAGGGTTGCTATCTTCTGTACTCCGTGGTAAATACTGGATATTATCTGCTAGACGTGCAATTAGAGCCATCATCTCTAAATGCAACGTATGTTTTCGATCTAAACCTCAACCTGGGTTCCCTATGATGGCGGACCTCCCTGAACCTCGAGTGCGAGCGGTTGTCAAAGCCTTCGTCCATACTGGATGCGATTATGCCGGCCCAATCCTAGTAACACCATATCGTGGTAAAGGTATAAAAAGCCGTAAGGCTTACATCTGCTTGTTTACATGCCTTACTACACGAGCGGTACATATTGAGCTCGCAAGCGATCTCAGCACAGCTTGCTTCTTGGCCGCCATGAAACGATTCCTAGCTAGACGAGGATCGGTTCAATGTTTTTATACCGATAACGGAACCAATTTTATTGGTGCCCGGTCGTATCCAATGGAAACTTATTCCTCCTAATGCTCCACACTTCGGTGGTTGCTGGGAAAGTAACATCAAGTGCATAAAAACCCATTTATATAGGGTTATCGGCCAATAAATTCTTACCTTTGAGGAGCTTCAAACAGTTTTAAGCCAGATTGAATCCATATTAAATTCACGATCACTTACAGTGCTCAGCTCTGATCCTTCAGATCCAGCAGCTTTGACGCCAGCTCATTTTTTACATACCGTCCCGCTTGATTTCCTGCCAGCACATGATATTGATAATTCGATTCCGCATCTTCTAACTAGATATGAGCTCTTAGACAAGATGGTACAGTCATTCTGGATGCGATGGCGGAGAGAATATCTTCATAGCCTACAAGCCCGCCAAAAGTGGAACTCACCATCCTTCCCGGTTAAGGAAGGGACGGTTGTGGTAGTAATACAGGATAACATCATGCCCTTACATTGGCCCTTAGGCATTATAACACAAACTTTTAAAGGTAAAGATGACGTTATACGTGTAGCAATGGTAAGGACTAAGCACGGTACTTACCAAAGACCGGTGGTTAAATTGTGTCCATTACCAACTCAGTAAAGTCATAAATTATTTAGGTAAAGGGTAGATTAGCTTCTAGATAATAAGTCATAGATAAGATAATGGGATTAAGTAGACATAAGTAGTTAACAAACATTCTTTAGTATGTTGTAATAAGGTTCCTAGAAGTAAGAATAATTTAATTTAAATCGATAGATGATTACACCTTTGAAAGCTTCCCTTTCAAGGCCGGGAGGAATGGTTCGGCTAGTTTAATAAACAGCCGAAATTTGTTCGTTTGTTTGCGCTGAAATACTCGCAACCGTTACCTCAATGTTACTTTGGTTTGGATGTCCGTGTATTTCGCGGGTCGATGTGATGCTTGTTTACTATTGGTCCGTTAAAGTTACGGACATCTTTTCGTCACGTGATTAACGGGAGGTCAACGCCGCGCGCCGTGAGAAAAGGGCACGTTTTACGCCGCTCCAAAATATATGTGCAATCGCAAGTTCCTACCCGAATTGGATCATCGTGAGTGACCGAAATCCGTGTAGCTGGGATCCCCGAAGAAGCACACGAGAGCAGGAGCATCCGCCTTCGTATATTCAGGTACGTCCGACCTTAGTAATATTGTCGAGTCAACGGTGTAGAGTAGAATCAGCCAGCGTCTATGAAAATTACAGTCCATTTCCCATTTCCAACCAGTTGTAATTATGTTACATCAAATTGAATTCAAGGTAAATATTTAATTTTTTAAGTCGCTGATGTTTCTGTTTTAATTGTTGAGTACTTACAAACTATTTTACTATCAAAAAATATTTATGATTTTAGACTACCAACGAATATTTTAATAAGACATGAATTTTTTACGTGGTAGAGCAATGCTGCAGTTATAATATTAGTAGTATGGTTATAGCACGAATGGGTCGGCTCGACCGGAGAAGGACCACGCTCTCACAGAAAACCAGCGTAAAATAGTAGCTTAATGCTGCTGTTTCGTATGGTGAGTGTAGAGAACCGGAGACCCTTTTTACCGGAAACGAGGCATTCCATAGTAGTCCTCACGAGTGACAACACATCTGCTTTTGATTCGTAATCAAGGATATATTATGTAGATGTCTATGGGCTACAGCAACCACTTACCATCAGGTAGATTGATGCTCGTTTGTCACCCTATCCTATAAAAAAATTAAAGTGTAGCTAAATAGAGGAATAATAATGAATAAGGGTAGGTAAATGCCATCTGCGATTGGACTAGTGATTGGTTCCTAACACTGAACGCAGACAAGTGTACGACTCTACATATAGGGAAAAATAATCCACGAAACACATATTATCTAGGTGATCACCCATTTTCTTCTGTTGAATCACAAAAAGACCTTGGTATTACAATAACCAGTGATCTCAAATGGGAAACTCATATCCTTAGCATAGTAAAAAAGGCAAACTCCATAATGTATATGATTTGAAGAAGCTTTATGTGTCTCACTCTTAAAATATTTAATAAGATCTACCGAACGTACTTAGGACCTCTTTTGGAGTTTGCATATATGATATGGGACCTGTATTTTCGTAAAGATATATTAATACTGGAAAATGTTCAAAGGAGGGCTACAAAAATGGTAAAACAACTGCGGAACATGACATATGAGCAGCGAATGAGAAAACTTAACCTCACAACACTAGAGAGCCGTAGGCAGAGAGGTAGTCTGATTGAAACATACAAAATACTGACAGGTTAATGCAATGTTCTTACTCTGTCAAATTTGTACTTACTAAGTAGCATCAAACGTCTGAAAGGACATCAATTTAAACTTTGCCATAGGACTGCCAAGCGGAATCCTATGAAGAATTTTGTAACAAATCGTGTTGTCACCAAGTGGAATAAGCTACCACAAAGTGTGATTGATGCTCCTACATTAAATGCCTTCAAGAACAGACTCGATAAAATCTCCAAACACTAAGACGCACACGCATCAGCTTTTTTAGCTGCTAGTGTGTTTATGTATAAATAATAATAAATAATAATAATAGCTGCTATAAGACTGAGCTGAAAGGAACCAAAATGGCAGCCATCCTGTTGACTTGACAGAGATAGAGCCACGCAGCGGCTATTTATGTCGCATGGATGAGCCAGCTTAAACCGAGGTGATACCAAGACCTCACATAATACCTGCGTGAAGTAGAGGTTTACCTCTGCGTTTCACTTGGGCTGGAGGCCCAATTCCCCTCCCCCTTATCATCGTAGCGGAATCAAATAAAAACTACCCCAAAAGGGTATCCTCACTCCTGGTGACGGAGAATCCCTCGCTGAGCATCCACGACCAAGCTACTTTACTCTTCCCGACCGTGGATGCTTAGGCTGCTCCGCGTATTCTGGGGGAGGGGGTGAGGGAAGGAATTCTGCTCGCGACCAAAACTGTTAGGGGCAAGCGGAGCAATAAGAATAAGGCGACTCCTGTCACGCTATCAGTGAATTTTTGCAACATCAGGACACTTCATTCTAATCTTAATGCTATCCACTACCACCCGGAGACGGCGAAGCCGGCCTTGTTCTTTTTAACCGAGGCTTAGGTATCCTATCCGGCTGATACTTCATATCTCTCTGTACCCCGGGTAACAAATTAGAACACTCCTTTGTGCCCCCGGCTGTAGTTTCTTCTATTTTGCATTTACTAAAATATACCTTTTTTTCATTTAGAAAAGTACATATTTTATTTCCATGGAAATTTATTTTTTATTCCAACTAGTTCTTTTTACTATTAAGTTATTTTTTATAATAAACATGTTTTACATTACATATGTTGTATACTTTTATCGATGTTTACTTGCTCACTTGATAATCTATCAAGAAGACTTTTAAGTGATCTACAGACATCTCTTATGTGCTTCATCTTTTTTTGGGAACAGACAGATATACTTTCGCTTTTCCATCGCATATTAATCTTGTAGTTGTAGCATTGAATCTCGATTTTCAGGGACTTTTGAAAAAAGGTGGCAACACTTCTCTGACTCACACAAAGTTATAAAATTGGTTACAGTTTCTTGTTCTAGGTGCGACATCTACCTTTTTTTACTTCATCTGGGTGTTACATCTTGATTTCTTTGATTTTAGTACCTAATAAGTTTGTTAATTATTAAAAATATATTCATACTTCTGTGAGCAAAGAAATTTAAAAAAAACGATTGCAAATGTACATTAAAAGTTTTACCTATTTAGTCTAAACTAATTTTAGACATATTTTTTTGTATTTCAGCAAAAAAAGATCACGTGTTTCCTACGAGCAGCGTGAAAAAATGTTTGAATTTATGGTGGCGCATCCCGATTTTGCCAGAAATCGGGTTGCAGGCGCAGAGGTGTTAAAGCTAAAGCTGCCAAAATCCACCGTGCTCAGCAGCAGACTGGTGGAGGGCCTGGACCTGCACCCTTATCTGCCATGGAGGAATCTCTAATGGCATTTATTGACCACGAAGCAGCAGACTTACTACAAATTCATATTTAATTTTTAGGATTCAGTACTATCCATGCTTCCTTTCGATTTCATAAAAAAAATGGAGCTTTGTAGTGTAACTTATATTTGTACCAAACAACAAATATTTATTACAAAAATTAATAAGTTGCTAAATGTATGTTCATAGTTATTCAAAATTTACTATTAAATATCTAGCAGTATGAGTCCACAATAGAATAAACTCATTCTAAAGAAAGTTGCATCTGCATATTCTTGTGTATATACAACTGATAGAGATCCCTAACCCCATTTATAAGTGAGAGAGGTAGGAAGGATCTACAGTTTCATTTCGTTTTGTCTTTACAGATTCCTGAAGGTGATGCAGAAGTAGAAGCTGGTGGTGACGAAGATGTCCACAATCCGGTTGTGGATGATAGAAAAACAACGAAAAAACGTAATTATATTGATTACTTTTTATTGTTTAGTTATTATTTCATGTCTTAATATGTTGTATGTTGTTGTAGAAGATAGACTTGAAGAGTGTCTGGAAGTTCAGGCTGTAGCCATATGAATACGCTCTCACAGTTTATGAATAATTTGGCTGCAGCCATAGATAATTTTGCTGCAGCCCTCAAATCCATGGCCAATAAAAGTGATGAATGAAATTTAATCTAAGGTAGGTCAATATAATTAAATAATTTTGATTAGTATGAATTATTTAAGTTTAATTAAAAGAATAAAAGATAATAAACAAATAATTATATATAAATTGTTATTAATAAAATAATCTTTCTACTCATTGTTGTCGCACTTGAAGGCCCCGCTCATATATTTGTATCTCTAATGATCTGCTGTACTGGCTTCTGGTGCTAAAGCCTCCTCATCAACTATGTCGAGAAAACTAAGTCCTGCTGTTATGCAAACATTGTGTAAAACTGCATATGCATTTACAATGCAGCCTACTTTTGTTGGTTCATACTCCATTTTTCTTAGTAAGCATCAAAACCTTGACTTTCATTGTGGGTCATCAAATGACTTAAGAACACCGAAACACCTCTCAATACTGTTCCTTGACCTTATATGGGTGTTGGTATATTGACTTTGAGGTGTGTTTTCTTCAGCATTAAGGATCGGTGTGAGGAGACATGGCTCCAAGGGATATCCGGAATCACCTGTAATTCAAATAAACAACTAGAACATTACAAATACTGTTTTAATTGAGATTATTTGTTTCAGATTTATCGACAATATTGTTTATTGCAATACCTAGAAGCCAGCAAGTATTGCCTTCACCATTAAGGTACATCATCACCTTTCGTAGTGCACTAAACCTCCATATAAAGGAATCGTGTGTTGCATCAGGATATCGTGCACACACGTTTAATATTTTTAAGGAACTGTCACAAACCTATGAAAAGCGAATTCAATTAGTACACAGTTTAGGTCACTTGCATAATTAATATACAGAAGTCATAATGATCTTATTATTAAAATTCAAAACAAATGTCCTTAATTTTTTGTAAGGTATTTGTACTTAAATATAAATGACACAGTTCGGAGGGATCAACAAATTAGACTGCAGCCATGTGGTGAAATTTAATTTATTTACCATTTGTGCATTAAGGGTGTGTTCACCCTTTCTATTTACATAAAGTTCTTCATGTTGTGTTGGCTTCTTAAGTTTTATATGAGTGCCATCAATATAGCCCAATACTTCAGGAATTCCGAATTTTTGGTAATTTCTGCAAATGAAAATAAGACTGATTGTGATACTAGCTTCTTAGACATTCGAAGGATAAAACTATGTTTGTCAAGGTAATTAGGTTCCTACTTAGAAGATAATTGTTATTTTTTATTTATTTTTAAATTATTATAGTTATAGTTTTCAAAATTTTAATAATTTTTTGTAATTTCTTATTTAAATGTTGACATGTTAAAATAATAAACCATTTATGTAATATGAAAGTATTTATTATTTATGAAGTTTTCTGACAAACTACTTTTAAACATGTTTATGTCCCACTGCTACTTATGTGCACAAACTTCTCATAAGGGGTCTAGCCTTATATCTCACTCTTAGCTGCTTTGGGTATTTTAGGAAGACGGCACATACTGCTGCTGTCTGTAACCTGGTCAGTCCCTTAGTTGCCTACTGAATGAAAACCACATGGATTATTTCGTGATGGTAGCAGGTTTGTTATGTGGTAGCCACGCTGCAGCTACATTATAGTTGTAGCATGAATGGGTCGGCTTGACCAGGTGAAGGACCACACTCATAGAATACCAGCGTAATGCTGTTGTGTTTTGTATGGTGAGTGTAGAAAATTGGAGACCCTTTTTACTGGAATTAAGGCATTCCAACTTAGTCCTCAGGAGTGACAACACATTTACATTTTGATACTTAATTGAGAATAAATGTGGATGTCTATGAGCCACGGAATCCACTTACCATTACATAGACTGTGCTCGTTTGTCACCCAATGCAATGAAAATAAAGGTACCTAATTTAAATTTGCATCGGGAAAGATCACCATAATTTTTGTATTTTAGTTTCTTATTGATACATACATTATAATTGATAATACCTACCTACAGATTCATATGAATAAGTATGCTATAGGTACCTATGTCATTTAAATCTTGAGATTTACCTTAAAACAGTTGCTTCCATTTGAGGACGATTTGAAAAATTAATCCATTTTTTGATAATTTTAGGTTGATTTAGTGTGGCTACTGCCTCTTTAATGGCTCTGCTGGAATTAGGCTGGCTAACTTTGAAGTCCACATCCTTTGTTAAACTTTTTTGATAGGAGCCTTGTGCGAAAAAATGTAACGCGCAGAGGAGCTAAGTACCAAAAGAGAATTAAAATAAGTAACAACTTAGGTACGGTACTGAGTTTACTATCTAGATACCTATATTTACCTTTAGTTCTATAGGAAGTGAGCTTGAATATTGATGTTGTTGCCAAATAGGCTTTAAATCGTTCACAATAGCCAAGGCCAAGTCCGGGGTGAGTCGGTAAGTCGAATGGAAGTTTGGGTCCTCATACGGATTCGACAAATTGCGAAACCGTTTGTTTCGGATCATTGTTTGCATCCGTAGCTTCTCTTTTTCGTGGTTGCGGACTCGCCTATGAAGAATTAATGCTACTATGCCTGACATTGCTTATATCTGTAAAATTAGAGATAGAAAACTTATAAAAACACACCTTTATTCCAAATATTCACAAAAATACAGTTTTGCAAATTAAGTGCAAATATTGAAGTAATTATATGAAAAAATGTTTTATACATAATTGCAATTAATTTATGTTACGTACCTTATACTTAGAAAAGCTTATTTATCTCTTTTAATTATCAATATTTAAGTTTTCGCCAGCCTCAGGGGTCTCGGTAAAGTTTCCGATGCGAACTGTCACAATTCCCGAAAACGAATGTCAAATTCATCCGAACGGCGAATGTGAATAGCGTTTCATTGTTTCCGTTTGAAATGTTATCGAATCCGAGTCGATTTGCCTTTCCGAGACGATTGTGAATAGCCCTGCTGGTCCACTTCCTGTGGGGCCGCTTCTGGAAGAAATAGTTCATCTTAAATAGTCCCTCTTTCTCCGTAAAGTAGGCCAGCTGCTGGCCCCTTCGGTTCCGTTGCCCTACTCCAAATTTCCCTACCTTCAGCTCACCGCTTTCTCTTGCGCCTAGTTTTGCGTTGAAGTCTCCCATCAACACCGTGTAGTGGGTTTTGGAGGAATGCATAGCTCTGGAAATATCCTCATACATTTCCTCCACCTCCTCATCGGGATGTGCCGACGTTGGTGCGTAAATCTGTATGACCTTATGCGAATACCGTGTGGTGATTCTGAGTATCAGGTACGCGACCCTCGTCGACACACTCCCAATCTTTACAACGTTGTTGGTGAGGGACTTGTGGACGATAAATCCGACACCTCCTTGGGATAGATGGTCGCCCTCCCGGTGGTAGAACAAGTTGCCGGACTCAAGGATTGTCGTGTCCTCCCCCTCTCTTCGGACCTCGGATAATCCAATAATATGCCAGCGCAACTTGTCTACCTCTTCTTCCAGCTCCAGTATCTTCTCGTCAGTCCTCAGGGTGCGTGCGTTATATGTTGCTAGGTCGAGTCGTAGTAGGCGGCAACCGAACCTCCACCGGAGATTCTTAGCACCCCCTGCCTCGCCGTAACCATGTTCGCCACCGTAGCCAGGAATAGCGGGGCCGCCGGGGACTGGGGGGCCGTTTTTTTGCGTCGTTATTCATGGGGGGATATTTGCCATAGTTACCACGCTTGGCGAGCGGGTTGGCAACCGCAGTTTTTTATTATATCACAGTTGTTATCAGGAAGATGCTGCTGCCCATCTCCTGGCTGTCTTCCTCTGTCGCCTTTTACGACAACCACGGGAAGATATGGGGTAGTGGATATTCTCAACCGCCACTACACGGCATAAAAAGCAAAGTTCATATAATTGAATTGAATTTCGGAAGATAAGGGTTATGTTTGATTCCTATTTATTTGTTTTTTTTTTGTATGGGTTACGAATAAAACACATAAAAACATAAAATTATATTTGTTTCCAAACATTTTCATATAGATTTCTCAAAAAACAAACTTGTAGAAGTTATTTTATTAATATTTTCGTGGCTAAATTGAACTGAAGTATCTACTACTACTATGCTTTTTAAAGGGTAAATTATGAATGTTATTACTATATCTACAATCTGAAAATTATTTTATTCGATAGTTTATTCACTCAAGAAGAATTCCTGTAAGTTTTATCCAAAAATATTGTCTCAAAGTGAAAATATAGCAGAATTTGCAAGTTAGGGAAAAATTTTCATTTTCCGCCATTTTAAGGTCCCGAGCGAACGGGAGTATAACATGTCGCGACCTCTCTGATCTTACGGGAGGTTACGTGTCACAATACGTCCATATTCATATTGGTATTTCCCAATTTATATTAATTGCCATATGATGGTGATGTAAGATAATTTATCTCCTTTTTTTATCCTATGGGTGTCGTTAGAGATGACTATTGCCAAAGCCAGGAAGGTCTCATGGCATTGGAAGATAATGGTAAAATTCACTTATAATGAACATAGGCCCCGACAATATATTTCCTAGCAGGGAAGATATTGGCCATAGTCGCCACGCTTCGCAGGAGGATTGTTAACGGCAGTTTCTTATTATTTTGTGTTTGTCCATCTCCCATTTCACTTTCCTCAATTACCCCCTACGACACTTATTGCATAAACATTGTTTAAAATAATTTCAGGCATTTCTATAAATGATTAATAAAGTCAAAGACTACAAGATTCACTTGATTGTAAGTGTATTATTTGGAACTTACATGAAAGCAAATGGTGTCATGTTCATAAAAAATTCATAATAAATATACAATTTTTTTTCAAGCAGTACTGAATCTATCCTTGTTTTCCTCTAATGTATCCGAGTCTATTTGTACTGGGTATGGTCGATTGCAGCCGCTTGAGTGTGAGGGAGACATCTGGCACATCAAATATTATTAGTATTAGATAAAGGATTCATCATCATCATTATCATTACAGCCCTTCACAAGTTCACTGCTGAACATAGGCCTGCCCCAAGTAATGCCACAAAGCACGGTCCTGAGCCACCTGCATCCATCGACTTCCTGCATATCTTACCAGGTCGTCAGTCCATCTAGTGGGTGGTCGCCCTAAACTACGCCTACCGGTACTAGGCTGCCACTCGAGAACCTTTCTTCCATCGGTTATCGGTTCTTCGAGCTATATGGCCGGCCCATTGCCACTTCAGCTTACTAACCCGTTGGGCTATGTCGGTCACTCTGGTTTTCTGGAAACTCCGAGCATAGCCCTCTCCATAACTCGCTGAGCGACCATGAGTGTCTTCATACGGCCAGCAGTGAAGGGCCACGTCTTAGATCCGTAAGTCATCACTGGCAACACGCACTGGTTATACAATCTAGTTTTCAGAGATTAAGGTATACCTGACAAGAATATGTGTCGTAATTTTCCGAACGCTGCCCAGCCGAGTTGAATCCGTCGATTGACCTCTCGGTCGAAGTTGGACTTACCTTGTCGGACCATTTGTCCCAGGTAAACGTACTCATCAACAACTTCGAGCGTAGTGCTCCCAACAACTACCGACATAGGTGTGACATGGACATTAAACATGATCTTTGATTTGTCCATGTTCATCTTAAGACCTATCCGTTGGGAGACACCATTGAGGTTATTGAGCATAGTGCGAAGGTCCTCCAGCGATTCTGCCATAAGGACTATATCGTAGGCAAATCGAAGGTGAGCGATATACTCGCCATTGATGTTAATACCGTATCCTTTTCAGTCCAGTAGCTTGAAAACGTCTTCCAACGCAGCGGTGAAGAGTTTCGAGGATATAACATCACCCTGTCTTACACCTCTCTGCAGTTGGATAGCCATCGTAGCCCTACTGTACAAACATTTCAGCACTTCGATATACCGACAGTCAACTTGGCACAGCTGAAGGGACTGTAGCACCGCCCAAATTTCGACAGAATCAAAGGCTTTCTCATAGTCCACGTACACCAGGCAAAGTGGCAAATTGTACGCTTCGAACTCTGGTTCTGTACATAAAATATTACGTGGATGGATACATCACCCAGATGTAACCGCTGCGCTAAAGCTGCGTGTACCTAATAATTACTTGTGTTCTCGTCGCCGTTCCCCGTTGCTCCTTGTACTCGCTGCTGGGATGAAATTATATATAAGTTATAATCTTACAGGATATTCACATATTTACGTGCAGTCAGATGAAATTCGTATTGCAACATACAAAGGTGTTGAACATTGTTTTTAAGTAGTAATTTATTTTATATACGTGTTGATAATTACTATTAATTATTCATAGTAGTTAGTAAATATAACTGTAATGATGTTATAATTGTGTAATAAATAAGTAAATATATCATCGTTTGAGAATCAAGCTGCAGTGTTGTCAGACCTGCGATTAAGATGGAATGCCTACTTTCCAGTAAAAAGAGTTTCCGGCTTTTTACACGCACCTTGGTGGACATATACGCTACGACAAATCGCTACGATCAGACTGTACAGTTACAGTTCGAACGGTACAGTTTATCACACATGGCATACAAGCCATATACGGTACGAGAAATCGTTACGATCAGACGGTACAATAAACAGTGCCGATGCGTGTCAGCAATGGCTTCGACGGACGACGTTTAGCAGTTGTTGGTTTAATATACGCCCTGAAAGAAAAAAAAGTGAAGCGGAAAAATCGTAGCATCTGGTGCAAAGAATGGCTATTGAAAAGAAGTGTTCATTCTCATGTCAATTTGTTGGCGGAATTAAAGATGTTTCCAAAAGACTGGCACAATTTTTTTAAGAATGGATCATGATACGTACTTACATCTACTGAATATGGTAGCACCAATTATCGAGAAGCAAGACACTGTTATGAGAAATGCTATTCCACCCCATGACAGGCTTGTAGCTAGTGTAACGGTTCCCCCCTCTCATAGTAATAAATATATTAAATACTAAATATATTATATTCCCCTTTACATAATAATTATATATATATGTGACCAAGAAAATTAAGATATGTTTTGATCTTTCTAAATGATCTTTCTAAAGGTTTAATAATAGGCCGTTTGTAATATTTTTGGCGTGATCGACTTAGTTAGGAGCCTTATTTACGTTGTGTTTGTTTAGTAACTTAGTTCTTTTAGGTGTCTTTTGGAAGAATGAATATTCGCTAGAGCATTTGAAAGCTGTTGGTAGTGCCTTATAAGCTAAGTGAACCCCGTTCACGAAGACAGGGCTCGAGAAAGGTTAGAACATAAAACGTCCCAATTCCACTTGTATCAGGTTTATATTATTAACTTAATATTTTTATCCCTTCCCGCTCGGAAAAGGCTCAAAATATATTTATACAAAATACCCGATACAAGGGCTTCGCTCTCCTACATTTATTTAAAAATGTAGGGGAGGCACACGGCCACACACACGCCGTGTACGGTGAGCGCCAACCATTTTGATGCACTCCCCCCGAAGGGAACGCTAATTCGGGAACTGGACCGTAGTCCACAGCAAAATAACTGGCGAACCAGTAAAAGAGGCTTGGCCCCTTGTTAGTGCGTAATCACAAA